CTTGAACAAAGAACAAAGATAATTGTAACACAAAGAATTTACTAAAATAACAGCTGAAGCAGATATAATTGAATTCTATGCTGCCCTGAACTTTTTGTTTTGGTGACTAACATCATATCTCAGGTTGTGTTTTTGGATGCTTCTCCAAATCTAATCAAACTCATTGATTCTTCATTAACCATAAAGGTCTTTTGCTCCATAATGAAAAAACAGGGGAAGAGTTGAAAGAAAGCTAGTACACTAATGGCCCCAGCATCAAGCCTTGAATCATATTTTCTTATGCAACTGGCAAATGTCCACAAAGAAAAGTTACAGAAAAAAAATTCCAAGTGGATGACACTCTTCACTTTCTAACTTTACAATGTGATTCTCTCTCTTATAGAACTGATTGAGGTATCGGGCAAAGGATCCTCTTTTCCCACAAAAAGAAAGGATAAGCCAGTTCTCGAAATACTTGGGGGAAGCAGGACGACGCAAATTTATGAGAGACAGAATGAACGGAATCTTCCTATTGGTTGCTAGTAAACTGGAGCAAATAGGTAGACTTGAGATATAATGACTCGAGACAAAGATGCCAACAGCCCCAACATAAACTGCCAACAGTTTAACATGGTATTTCGATCTACTCTTCTATTGTGCTGCCTGCTAGACTCGAGAAAACATTAATGCCATCAATGCCGGTAAACTTATGCCTCAGATCAAAAGGTAGGGAGTTGGTCTGTGGGCATACTTCATATTTCATAGGTATCCATTTTACAGCCAAACCCGGTGTTCGATAGCAGCTGTTCCTGGGTGCACCGACACCATGGCTCAAATGTGCCAACGCAGCTTAGAACATCAATCATCCAGTCATCGGAGACATTAGCAAGAAGAAGTTACCTTGCTCCGTGATCACCTAGGCCATGAAGCCACACAACAGTAGCCAGGTGCCTCCCTTTGGGTCTGACCACATGTGTCCTCCCGTACTCGAACGTCCTCGCAGTAGTCTTGGCACCTAAATTTATTCAATGTTTCGATCGATCGATCATTCCTGACTCCCCACCGCGTGATGGAGGAAAGAGAGTAGGGGAACCAAACCTGAAGTGATCGAGCTGCTCCCGTAGCTCATCTCCGAAACGGCACGAAGAGCCCCTTCTCCCCCTTCGCAGCTCCCAAATTGCACCGGCAGCGGCGGCAGCTGGCTGGCTACACCTGTGGAAAGAAGCACCGAAAGCTTTTCTTGCTTCTTGACGTTGTTTTAAACGCCTACGGGTAGGTGGGGACGGAGGATGAATGAGAACCCACTAGGAGCTGTTCCTGGAAGAGGCGCATCAATTCAGAAAAGAAGTTTTTCTCTTTTACAGCTTCGAGGCGGAGAACCTGCATATAATGATAACACCGGCATCCACACATGGACGAATAAGAGGCCAGAAGACGGACGGGTGAATAAACCGGGGGCGAGTCACGGTTGTGAGGTGGTGGGTGGGTGTGGGTTTGCTTGCAAGAAGCGATGCTACTGGAAGGTCCCGTGGTAGGTACAGCGAAAGGAGAGGCAAGGAAAAGGTAGACAAAAGACAGCGTCGCTCTCCGGAATAACCAAGAGCAATCTTAATGATCGATCTAGTCTGTCGTCCCATGTCGTTGATGGCTGCTCATAGAACAACAAAAAGAAATCTAACGAAAGAAGGGAAGGAAGAAAGAAAATGGCGCACGACTTTCATTTAGAAGTCAAACCTGAGATCACCCAAGGATGTGCGGTTCCTGCCTTGTTCTTCTTTTCTTCCTCTAAATCTTCTCTGTTTCCCTTTTACTTTCCTGCTACCAGAACTCGTTGGGAATGCGCAGGGCAGCAAGTGTGGTGCGCACAAAAATTGGGGAGGGCAAGTGGTGAGAGCGGCGGATGCGATGGTGTTCGGCTGTCGGGATCTGGAAAGGGAGGAAACCGCCGGCCTTCCATCATGAGGAGGTTGACGAGAAGAGCAAATAATACGGAGAGGCGCCGAGCACTTCGGTCTGGACGACCCCCGTCACGGGGCCTCGTTACCCGCTGACCCGGTGGCAGCCGTGCTCTGTCGTGCGAGCGTGGAACGGGCCACGCTTGCTTTTTGGCGCCAGGCAGAACTCCGCGGCAGTGTAACGTTGTCGCAAGTACCGAGCATCATCGACGCATCACCGACCACCCCCGGCATCTTCCTGATGTGGGTTGTACGAGGCGAGTTGGGCTGCTGAGGTGCCTCTGCGGTCTGGATAATAATGGACCGCTGCCGGACGGAAATGCTCGAGTTGGACATGATTGTGTCGGTGGATAAAGAAACATGAGTTGGTGCAACAGACTGGGTGGGCGTCCCACACTGGCTCGCTTCGGATCCCTCAACGGCACCTAAATCTTTGATTCCAGAAATTTCGAGACATTTTATCTTAAAAATAATCTTCTTTACCAAATGATACCTTACTTGTTACCTATTAATTATTTTATTAATTTGATAAAATATTTCTTCATCTTTTATAAGTTATCCCTCGATATTTCATATACATTTATCGTGTCCATCATCTTCGCCCTGCTCTCACCATAAGTATCACATTATCTCTACCTTTTCCTTTTTCTTTCTCTTTAAATGCGATGACAATATATCAATACGATTGATGGAGGATGAAAAAATATTTTTATTAAATTAATAAAAAAAATTAAGTATTGTAAGGTTTTTAAAAAATCTAATAGTAAAAAAATTTAAGTAAAATATTTAAAATTTAATTAGAGAAAATAGTTATCGAAAGTCACCTAGAGCCAATGTATGTGTATGAGAGAGAAAGAGGACTTTTGACACGTACATTGATGTAGTATCATATAATAACAAAACCCGTCCATTTTGTCTCATGGGACAATTGTTCAATAAGTGTGTATATTTTGTGCCAATTGTTCAATAAGTGCATACCACTTATGTTATGTTTTCGTATGTAGATAAAGAAAACTAAAAAACTAAAAAATTTATTAACAAAGGACGAGAAACATTTGATAAATTTATTATTTTTATTTTGTTAAATAATCTTTGAGATAGAATTAGCCATAACCTCCCTTCCATAGTGTTCGGAGTTGTCAGTGACAAATCGATAGCTGAGTTCTTCCTAGATTTTTTTTTTTAACCTGATAGCCCATAAATAATATATATATATATATATATAATCATTTTGGATATATAATTATGTTTATAATTTGTATTGGTCATGAAGTATTTGCTAAAATAATTGTTTGTAGATCTCGAATGAAATATTTTTTCTTATTTGTTTTCTCTTTTATAAATCCTAAAAAACTATAAAAGATTTTGAGAACGACTTGTAAAACCAACTAAATGCATGACATATAATTATTATAACGAATGATTTTTTATTTCTATTTAATAACATGAAAAATACGGCAAACAAGATTAACACGATTTGGACACAATAGGTTATTCAAAGAAAATGGATGCATAATGCTAATATCAGCTTGAAACAACTTAATCGGAGGTACATGACCTTTGTATTACCTTTTCTTTTTGCCGAAGCCCATGAATGCAGTAGTCCAGTTCTGTATGCTTATCTGGATCAAGTGGTCTCCGCCACTTTTGTTGCTCATGACTGCATCCTCCGAGTTCTTCAGTTCTTTATCGACTGAAATCGGTTGTCGAAATCACAGTCTAATCAATCGAACTAAGCCAAAATGGTATAATGATGCATCCCATCCTATTCAGTCCGAGATTTCTTATCCTTCCGAATGTTAGAAGTAAATAGAAAGCATTTGGGTCTTTTGTTGCATCGTTGATCGTGGAGTCCATACGGTTTGGTTCAGTCTTAATGGCATAAGCTCGTATAAGAAACCCACATTGGGTCACATATGGAGACTAAAGTGGGAAACAAGTCCGATTGGTACGATTCCGAGACATTGCTTATTCACTAAAGGCGAGTTTTGGTATTGTCCCAAAGTATGCTTTAGACTTGTCGAGATCCCTGCTTAAGCGATCAACATCGGGAAAAGTTTCTAACCCGAAAAAAATTATAGATATACTTGTCCCTTTAAGCCTTGGGGCTGGCTTTTATACCTGAGTAGTCAATGGAGTGCGACCAATGATTGATTCCCAGGAGCCCATACATCATTTAAGAGCTCATTTATGTCAAGGGCCGGTGAACACGCCTCTCTGAGAGCGATGTCAGCAAAGACAACTATAATAGCGTCATTTGTTAAGGTTGGAGCTTGTTTGGGATAAGTAGAAGATGATCCCCTGTACCAAACATTCGGAAAGGGGAACTAGGCCATGTCGCTTGGGATTAATGCTCTCTTTATTCACGCGTACAAATCTTCCCGAAATCATGATTGGTGGGGGGTGACAGGTTGCTTACAAAAAGGGAAAAGGAAGGGATTGATCTTGCTACCGGAGGTTAATGCACTATGTAGATAGTTCATGTGGCCCTTCCAAAGATCGAGATGGCGAGGGTCAAAGGATTATGCTACTACTAACGACTATAAGGAAAGGGTGTGAATTGTTAAATGTCCGTTATCATCTACGTGATAATCCATGATGCGTCAGTAATACTTTAATCGTTGCTTTTCAATCGATTTTGTTAACTCGTTCTAATTTTGAATGACTCATATTAACTAAAAGTTATTGATATATTTTTAAAAAAATATTATTCCGTATATAAATTGTATTTACATATTTTAAATTAATTTATTAATTAAAATATATTATCTGACCAGCTGATGCGACATAGACAAAATAATTAAAATATTTATTAAAAATATATTATCTGTAAATAAAATATGGGATGGGATCCTAAAATGAAGGGGTGGCGTTACCACGTAGACACGGTGCGAAGGATCGTTGGATAACATCGCGGTCGTCCCACACCAGCGTCGGATGTATGGGTGGGGCAGTCAGCCGTAGGCGTGGCTATTTTGGCATTCCGCCTCTCTCTCTCTTCTCTCTCTCTCTCTCTCTCTCTCTC